GAATAATTTGGGTGTATATACAACATTAAATAAGTAACATTAAATAAGTGTAGTTAAATTTAAGGAAACGTACGGAAAAGGTACTTGTGGTTGAGCTCGTTTTCGAATAGAGTCATGTGTTTCATTCTTTATCAAAGTGTTTCACGTGTTTGAATTCCGTTATCACAAGAGGGTCACGCCGTTAAAACGTCTGAAAAAGACCGTTAAAAGTAACTACAATTTTCAAAAGTGCCCGAAAATTGGTTCATGTGTTTCAAAAGTAACCGCGATTTTTCGCTTAAATTACAAAAATGCCACTGGAAAAATTAGTCTGTATTAGTTAAATGGGTTGTCTTTTTGACGAAGGCCCACAAAAAGGCCCAATTAATTAAGAAAGACAGCCCATTTAACTAATACAGACTATTTTTTTGGTGGCATTTTTGTAATTTAAGCGAAAAAAACACGTTTTTTTGCTAAATGAGCGATATTGTACTTTTAGTGAGCATCTAACCTATTTGCTTTGAGTATTATGAGGCTAACAATGAGTATCACGACCTCCGCTTCATATCTTCTGATTCTTTTTTTCTTTTATATAAACTCACTAAAATGTATCTATAATTCACTCTTATTAATTTCAATATGCGAGTGTGACGTAATATGATACTTTTGAAATATGCATTGATATGACATTTTAAAAATGAGTATAACATAAGTACCAAATGAGCATACATAACTTACAAACTGCACATTGATATGAAAATCTTAATGTTTGTTAGTTGAACATCACAACATTTTAATTGAGCATCAAACCTCCGCTATTGAGATGAAAATTATGGTTCCTGATGATTGAATATTAATGAAATTTTAATGAGCATCAGACCTGTTATGTTGAGTATTAGGAGTCTAATATTCAGAATCGTGATCTCTGCTTCATAACTTCTAATTCACTTTCTTTTTGTTACTTTTATAAAAACTTATTAAATTATATTTATAGTCAACTCATATTAGATTCAATATGTGAATCTAATGTAAATTAGTAGTTTTAAAAAATGCATTGATATGATATTTAAAAAATGAGCATAAGATCAGTATCAGATGAGCATACGTAATTTACAAAATGTTCATTTATATGAAAATTGTAAGGTTTGTTAGTTTGACATAACAACATTTTCATTGAGTATCAAAACTCCTCTATTGAGATGAAAACCATAGTTTTTCTATTAAATGAGCATTAATGAACTTTTAATGTCCATCAAACCTATTATGAGCATTAAAACACTTTCAATGAATTCAGACTTATTCGGTTGAGTATTAGGAACCTATCAATTTGCATGAATATGAGATTTTAAAAATGAGCAAAATATGAGTACAAATTGAACAAACACAACTAACAAAATGAGTATTAATATGAAAATAATAAGTTTTTAGCTGAACTTAAAATACATTTTATTGAACATCAAACATTCTCTATTGAGTATTGAAAACATGCAACTGAGTATCATGGTATGTGCTCCTATATCTATAATCAACTCCTACATGAATCTACAAAATAAACTGAAACATTTAACAATATTTTACATAATACATTTTCATAATAGTTGAATAGGGAAAAGAGTCAGATAGGTCGTCGAACTTACATAAAAAGGTCAAATAAGACCTTATATAGGAGACTCTGTCCGGCCGTCGTCATTTGGGGCGGTTCTCGGTGGAATTTTTGATATTTTTTTTTGAGCATCTTATTCATTAAGTGTAGTTCACTCATACCAAATTTCAGCTAAAACTTCAATCAGGAAGATATTCAAATTATTTGTTGAAGATATATAACTGCAAAAAACGGGTGTACATGTACACTCGGATGTAGGATATAAATTGTGTTTCTTCTCCATCAAAGAGAAGAGCCGCATAATACAAAGACGAGCTACTATCAGACAAACATCAGTGTTCTAAAAGGCGTAAAACGTGACGAGCGGCATGATGAAGCCTTAAGCCTTTGAAGCCTTGGCGAGTTTAGGTGGGGTAAGGCGTGAAAAAGCGTTTGACTCTTAATTGATTATTTTACTCTTTAATTTAATAAATATATACATGTACAATTCGAAAAAATCATGTAAAAGCATCATAAACATAATGTTATATATGCACCTTTTTGAGTACTCTTCTCGTCAGGCCGGCATGACGGGAACCTCCGTCCGGCCGAGCCCGTTTGGGCACCTTTCCGGTGGAATTTTTTGATGAAATTTTTTGAGCATGTTTCTCATCAAGTCTAATTTGTTCATACCAAATTTTAGCTCAAAATTCGACCGAGAAGGCATTCAAATCATTTTTTGAAGTTAACTGCGTCAAAATATACATATAAAACTGCAGTCAACTTCAAAAAATAATTTGAATGCCTTCCTGATCGAATTTTGAGCTGAAATTTGGTATGGACAAACTAGACTTGATGAGGAACATGCTCAAAAAATTTCATCAAAAAATCCACCGGGAAGGTGCCCAAACGGGCTCGGCCGGACGGAGCAGCCCGTCAGGTCAGCCTGACATGAACTTTCCTCGCACCTTTTTAAGATATGTTTGATAACATTAAAAGAAACAAAATCGGCTGAATTTGCTAAAATTTATAAAATTCGAGCTGAAATAGTTGAGTTATGCCAAATTTTGAAAAATTATACTAAAAATATATTTTATTAAATAAAATTAAAGAAAAACACAAAGATGCTAAAATTGTCTTTTACAATCATTTAAGTGAACTCAATCATAAAATGATTCATTTTTTACTTATTTTGATAATTAAAAAATTTTGCACGTGAAATCAAAAAATTACGTAATTATTAAAAACTTGATTAATAAAGCTGAAAATAGGAGCTACTAGACCGCTCTTAACATGTATACAAAAGGAAGAGTCGATGAACTAACTAATTCAATGATGAAATAATAACGTTAACAAATACAAATGCAAATATAACACTTAATACATTAACAATATGGTACTGTGGTAATAAACTAATGATAATATATAATACTAGTAATAATCAACATTTAGTGGAGTATTCTCTCAAAAAAACATTTAGTGGAGTACATTACAATATTACATCCACTAGTATTCACCGTATTGGTATAATATAATATATAATATAATAAACTAATACGAAGTAATTTTTTGTGTTCCGACCTTTTCCCACACCGGAAAGAAGCAAAAGATTTCTCTAGCTACTGCTCTATATAATAAGGCCGTTGCTTTAGATTTTGGAACAACGGAACTGTGCCCGATTTAACGTAATTCGGGTCTCGTACGCTTATTGACACCGCATAGTATTCGTGCGAGGCGTTTTTATCTCGCCTCACGCCTACAGAGTTCTATCGCTGGTGGTGGTCATTGACTACCATGGATTTGCGCTTTCCGTATTCACCGGCGGAGGTCGCCAAGGCCCGTATGGTCCAGTTCGGCATTCTGAGCCCTGACGAAATTGTAATCCTAATCCGCTGAATTTGCAGCAATTCGAAGAATCTGCAACTGTTTATATATGTTGCTCAATGATTAAATTCGCCATGTTGATTTTCATTCATTTTGCAGCGGCAAATGTCAGTGGTCCATATAGAGCACAGCGAGACCACCGAGAGGGGGAAACCGAAGCCAGGCGGGCTAAGCGACCCGAGGCTTGGGACAATCGACCGGAGGATGAAGTGCGAGACTTGCATGGGCAGCATGGCCGAGTGTCCTGGGCACTTTGGTCACCTCGAGCTTGCCAAGCCAATGTTTCACATCGGATTCATGAAAACCGTGCTTAGTATTCTTCGTTGTGTCTGCTTCAATTGCTCCAGAATACTTGCAGATGAGGTAATTTGGTGGCCTCCAAAGTTATTTGGTGTCTTAAAGACACATGAACTTTAACACAAATACCAAGTACTCCGTACATCATAACTTTAAGGAGTTTAAGGCATCAAGCTAAATTACTCTGCACCCAAGACAAATACCAAGTACACATCAACTTTAAGACAAACACCAAAGTACTCCGTACTTTTCTTTTAAAAATTAAAGAATCCGTATCGTCCCAAATATGTTTAGAATTTATCTCGTTTTGTACCAATTTTTAGTATGGTTCGGTACGATTCGGTACAGTTCTCCGATACTATTCGATTACTAAATAGTTAACTCTTACAAAGTCAAAAGTAAATATACAAAAATTGAAGAGAAGAAACCCAAGATTAAAATCAAACATAACAGAAATACAAAACTAAGTCAAACTATGATAAAGAAAGGTAACATTAAACTAAAAATCGAAAGTGATGGCAAAATTAAAAAGAGAAAAATTTACAGGAATATTACTCTTTTAAACATCACTCACAAAACTATGACTGCCGATTAAAATGAGTCGAGGAGCTTTTCTATCATTCCTTATTTGACCTCGCGAGTACAACGGTATTTATGTTTCCTTATATAAAAAAACTCTTAAAAAGATGTATGTCTTCGCATGACAAATACGAAGTATAATATACTACATCCGTCCCGAATTGATTTGCAAATTTGATTTTTCTTGGTCAAACAGTTGCGTTTTGTTCACTTAATTAGGATGCCAATTTTTAATTATATTCTAATTTGAAGTTTACAACTTTGAAGAGATTTTGATGTAGTTTATGAATATATAAATTTTATTTATTAAAAATTAAATTAATTATGCATAAGGAGGGTTGACTTTTATTATGGGTTGACCAGAAAATGTTGACTTTGCAAAACAAATTTGGATGGAGGGAGTAGAAAATTGTCAAATAGGTCTTTATACTTTAATAGAAAAGTCAATTGAGTCCTTGCACTATTAAATGAGTCAATTAAGTCCCTAAACTTTTAAAACGGTCAAAATTGCCTTTTCTACGGTAGTCTGCCGGTAACCAAGCTTCTCCCCTACGACCTACGTGGCATCCAATTGGCTTTTCGAGGCTTTTTCAATACTATTTTCTTTTTTAACTTTTTTTTTTCTCTTTTCCCCCTTTCCTCCTATCTTTATTTCTTTCTCACCCACTACTTCTTCCTCCCCTTCCCCTAGTTTCTGCATTCGGATGAATCTTCTTTAATTTCCTTTATTTTTTCATTTTCTTTCAATCTTTCCACAAAAGAGCATCAATTCCGGCGCCAACAACTTCCTGACCAGGCGTTGCCCATAAGGCCATAAGTACAGTTCACCAACAACCGTCATCAGTCGGCCATCACCCAAAACTTCACCGGCAGTCGTTGACATCTTTCATAGTTGCCGTTGTGCGCAGCCCATAGCCCACGACTTTCCCAATGGCCGTCACCCGCCTCCTGTTGCCCACCGTTCCGCGCGCAGCCCATGGGCTACAAGTTCCCCAATTAACTTCTGGTGCCGGCCACCCTTGTAATGAAACAGAGGAAGGATGGAAGAAAGATAGGCAAAAAAAAAAGAAACGGAAAAGAAATAATTTTGGGCTATGCAGGGAACAGAAGGAAAGCAAGAATCTGAACGCAAGAAGAAAAACCGAAAGAAAAAAGAAAGAGGATGAAAAGAAAACGTATGTGATAAAACCGAAAGGGGTCAGAGGAGAGAGTATTTGGTTCTCATAAATGATCACTCAGAAACTTTATACTGGATGGTTTCAATTAGATTGAGTTTCAAATCTTTGTGTGACATGAAATTAAAGATGATACTCCAAAACTTATGTGGGTTAGTCATTTGATATTGTACAGAGTGATCTGCATCTATTTACAACTCAACAATTTCAGCCTTTACGGATATCTTTTTATTTAAAAACGACCTTGGGGTTATGTTGACATGTTGGCAGGATGAGCCCAAATTCAAACAAGCCATGAGAATAAGAAATCCCAAGAATAGGCTAAAAAAGATTTTGGATGCATGCAAAAACAAAAGCAAATGTGAAGGAGGGGATGAAATTAATCTGCAAGGCCGAGATCCTGACGAACCTGTAAAGAAGACTAGGGGTGGTTGTGGGGCTCAACAGCCCAAGATTAGTATAGATGGCATGAAAATGGTTTCGGATTATAAAGGTCAGAAGAAGAAGAATGACGACCAGGAACAGATGCCAGAGCCAGGACGTAAACAACTTACGGCAGAAATGGTACGTTCCTGAACAATCTAAGCCTTCTTGTGCTGCGGTTACTGATTTTCTCTTATCCATAATTTCTTAATATTACAAATTCTTATTTGCCTTACAGGTCCTTAGCATTCTGAAGCGGATAAGTGATGAAGACTGTCAATTGTTAGGACTAGACCCCAAGTATGCTCGCCCAGACTGGATGATTCTTCAAGTACTTCCTGTACCCCCACCTCCAGTTAGGCCTTCTGTAATGATGGATACATCATCCAGGAGTGAGGTGTGGTCTTACTATTGAGGCTTTTAGTGTTTTCTTCTCCAGATTTGCATATTGTTTATTGATTCTGAACATGTATTGATTCCTTAAACTTCGGTGTAGGATGATTTGACTCATCAACTAGCGATGATTATACGGCACAATGAAAATTTAAAGAAGCAAGAACGTAATGGGGCACCTGCACACATCATTTCCGAATTTGCACAGTTATTGCAGTTCCATATTGCTACTTATTTCGACAATGAACTTCCTGGTCAACCTAGGGTATGGTTGGTTTCCAATTTTATCACACAATTTAAAGGCGTGATTTTTTTGTGTCATTGCAATTCTGTTTGGCTACTCAGGCTACTCAAAGATCAGGTAGACCTATCAAATCAATATGTAGCAGATTAAAAGCTAAAGAAGGTCGAATCAGAGGCAATTTGATGGGTAAGCGGGTGGATTTCTCTGCTCGAACTGTGATCACTCCAGATCCAACTATTAACATCGATCAATTGGGAGTCCCATGGAGTATTGCTTTGAATCTCACTTATCCAGAAACTGTGACACCATACAATATCGAAAGGTTCGTTTTATTTTACAAAGTATCCACCAACCCAGTCTTAACGAACAAGTATGCTACTATGCTTACTTGGTCATGTTTATAATTGGTCAACAGGTTGAAGGAACTCGTTGAGTATGGGCCACATCCTCCACCAGGTAAAACTGGGGCCAAGTATATAATCAGGGATGATGGACAAAGGCTTGATCTTCGCTACTTAAAGAAGAGCAGTGATCAACACCTCGAGCTTGGATATAAGGTGAACTTTTACAAGCTACAAACTTTTTGTTCTATGCTGCTTTCCAAGTTTCTAACCTTGGTTCATTGGTTCAGGTGGAGCGGCACTTGAATGATGGAGATTTTGTCCTATTCAACCGACAACCTAGTCTGCATAAGATGTCTATAATGGGACATAGGATAAAAATCATGCCATACTCCACTTTCCGTTTGAATTTGTCTGTCACCTCACCCTACAATGCTGATTTTGATGGTGACGAGATGAACATGCATGTTCCACAGTCATTTGAAACTAGAGCTGAAGTACTTGAACTCATGATGGTCCCCAAGTGCATTGTCTCACCTCAGGCAAATCGACCTGTAATGGGAATTGTCCAGGATACCCTTCTAGGGTGCCGCAAAATCACCAAAAGAGACACTTTCATTGAGAAGGTGATGGTCTAAAGACTAACTTTCTGCATGACCATGTGCATATACTTTTCTTTATAGTTTTGTGTTTTAAAAGACTAACTTTTTTCCTTACTGCATGCAGGATGTTTTTATGAATATATTGATGTGGTGGGGAGATTTTGATGGAAAGGTCCCTGCTCCAGCGATCTTGAAACCCAGGCCAATTTGGACAGGGAAACAAGTTTTCAATCTCATCATACCGAAGGCCATAAACCTCATTAGATATTCATCCTGGCATTTAGATACAGAAAAAGGGTTTATTACTCCAAGAGATACTCAAGTTAGAATTGAAAAGGGGGAGTTGCTTACGGGAACTCTTTGTAAGAAGAGTCTTGGGACATCCACTGGAAGTCTAATACATGTTATATGGTATCAATCTATATGCATTGCATTCTTGCTAGTTATCATGCCTAAGAAATATACTGACAGATTTCTCCTGTACACAGGGAAGAAGTGGGGCCTGATGCAGCACGTAAATTTCTTGGATATACTCAGTGGCTTGTTAACTACTGGCTATTGCAAACTGGCTTTAGTATTGGAATTGGGGATACAATCGCTGATGCTATGACTATGAAAAATATCTGTAACACTATTTCTGATGCAAAGAACAAAGTTAAAAAGCTTATAATAGATGCTCGAGAGAAGTTGTTAGAGGCTGAACCTGGGAGAACAGTTCAAGAGTCATTTGAGAATAAAGTAAATCAGGTACGACTGTAGAGTCTAGGCAATTAATTGATATTCTTTTCCCTTTCATATGATGTTTTCTACCCACACTTCACCTAATCCATTACAACTAATATGACATCCTTTTTGTGTATTCTTTCAGGTTTTGAACAAGGCTCGTGATGATGCTGGAACGTTTGCTGAAAAGAGTCTAGCTGAGAGCAATAATCTCAAAGCTATGGTAACTGCTGGATCAAAGGGGAGTTTTATAAACATTTCTCAAATGACTGCCTGCGTGGGGCAGCAGAATGTTGAAGGTAAGCGAATCCCCTTAGGCTTCATTCAAAGGACTCTCCCTCATTTCAGCAAAGACGACAATGGTCCAGAAAGTCGTGGCTTCGTTGAAAATTCTTACTTGCAAGGTTTGACCCCACAGGAGTTCTTTTTCCATGCTATGGGTGGTAGAGAAGGTCTGATTGACACTGCAGTGAAAACATCTGAAACTGGTTACATCCAAAGGCGATTGGTGAAAGCCATGGAAGATATCATGGTCAAATATGATGGTACAGTCAGGAACTCATTAGGTGATGTTATCCAGTTCCTCTATGGGGAAGATGGTATGGATTCTGTTTGGATAGAAACACAAAGGTTAGAGTCCCTGAAGGTTGATAAATTGAAGTTTGATGACATGTACAAATACGAGATTGATGATCCAAACTGGAATCCAAATTACATGATCCCAGATGCTATTGATGACTTGAGGTTAATACGTGAGATCCGAAGTGTCTTTGATGCAGAGGTTCAGAAGCTTGAATCCGATAGGCTCCAGCTGGGAACAGAGATTATTGTCACTGGTGATAACTCCTGGCCCCTACCTGTTAATATTCAGAGACTGGTCTTAAATGCTCAAAAGACTTTCCGGATTGACTTCCGAAGACCATCCGATATGCACCCTATGGAGATTGTGGAAGCCGTCGACAAACTACAAGAAAGGCTTAAGGTTGTTCATGGTGATGACTATCTCAGCATAGAAGCTCAAAAAAATGCAACCCTCTTCTTCAACATTTTGCTTCGTAGTGTCTTGGCAAGTAAAAGGGTCCTGAAGGAGTACAGACTCACGAGAGAAGCTTTTGATTGGGTAATAGGGGAGATAGAGTCTCGCTTTTTACAGTCACTTGTTGCACCTGGTGAAATGATTGGCTGTGTTGCTGCACAGTCAATAGGTGAACCAGCTACTCAAATGACTCTTAACACCTTTCATTATGCTGGTGTGAGTGCAAAGAATGTCACTCTAGGTGTACCAAGGCTGAGGGAGATCATTAATGTGGCAAAGAAAATAAAAACCCCGTCTCTTTCTGTGTTCTTAAAGCCTGAAGTGGGTAAAACGAAGGAGAGAGCTAAAGCGGTACAGTGTGCTTTGGAATATACCACCCTGAGGAGTGTGACCAAAGCCACAGAAGTGTGGTATGATCCAGACCCTATGAGCACCATCATCGAAGAGGATGTCGAGTTTGTTAAGTCGTATTATGAGATGCCAGATGAAGAGATTAACCCTGACAAGATATCTCCATGGTTGCTTCGAATTGAGTTGAATCGTGAAATGATGGTGGACAAGAAACTCAGCATGGCTGACATTGCAGAGAGGATCAACCTTGAATTTGACGATGATGTTACCTGCATTTTCAATGACGATAACACTGAAAAGTTGATTCTCCGGATTCGCATCATGAATGATGAAGCTTCGAAGGGTGAATTGGATGATGAATCCGCTGAGGATGATGTTTTTTTAAAAAAGATAGAGAGCAACATGTTGACTGAGATGGCTCTTCGTGGCATTCCTGACATTAACAAAGTCTTCATCAAGAGCACCAAAGTACAAAAATTTGATGTGAAGGAAGGCTTTAAAGCTGAGGAAGAATGGATGTTGGACACTGAGGGAGTCAACCTCCTAGCAGTCATGTGTCATGAAGATGTTGATGCCAAAAGAACAACAAGCAACCACTTGATTGAAGTCATTGAGATTCTTGGGATTGAGGCAGTTCGAAAGGCATTACTTGATGAATTGCGTGCTGTCATATCTTTCGATGGTTCTTATGTGAATTACAGACACTTGGCCATTTTGTGTGACACTATGACATATCGTGGCCATTTGATGGCCATCACCCGGCATGGAATAAACAGGAATGACACAGGACCGATGATGAGGTGTTCATTTGAAGAGACTGTGGACATTCTTCTCGATGCTGCTGTGTTTGCTGAGTCGGATCACTTGAGGGGCGTTACTGAAAATATTATGTTGGGTCAGCTTGCACCAATTGGGACAGGCGACTGTGCTTTGTATCTGAATGAGGAGATGTTGAAACATGCTATTGAGATCCCGTTGCCTAGTTACATGGACGGTGGGCTTGAATTTGGAATGACACCTGGACGGTCCCCGATCAGTGGCGCCCCATATGATGGTCTCATGTCTCCTATGCTTATGAGTCCTAATTTCAGAATGTCACCATCCACTGGTGCTCAGTTTTCTCCTTTACTCAGTGGAATGGCTTTTTCACCCTCTTCTAAGTACAGTCCGTATTCACCTATGTACATGGAATCTGGATACAGTCCATCCTCACCCAATTATAGCCCTGACTCCTCCGGTTATAGCCCTACCTCTCCCACATATTCTCCCACCAGTCCATTCTACTCACCAACTTCACCGCGCTACAGTTCCACCTCGCTGAGCTACAGTCCTACATCACCTCGTTACAGCCCTACCTCGCTGAGCTACAGCCCCACATCACCTCGTTACAGCCCTACCTCGCTGAGCTACAGCCCCACCTCACTGAGCTACAGCCCTACATCACCTCGTTACAGCCCTACATCACCTCGTTACAGCCCTACCTCACTTAGTTACAGCCCTACATCTCACACATACAGCGCGACTTCTCCATCATACAGCCCGACATCACCTTGGTATAGTCCGACTTCTCCATCTTATAGTCCGACTTCTCCATTTTATAGTCCAACATCACCATGCTATAGTCCTACTTCACCAGCATACAACCCTACCTCTCGTGAGTATAGTCCTACATCACCAAGCTATAGTCCCACCTCACAGAGCTACAATCCTTCAGCAAGCTACAGCCCATCACTTGCATACTCACCCACCAGTCCCAAGCTGTCTCCTAGTCCATACAGCCCATCTTCCCCTAGTTACAGGTATATAATTTGAATCTTTCCTTAATACTGTATATATTTACATTATCGGTAATGTTCATGTAAGTAGGCCTAAAAGTTGTAATTCTTAGGCCTCTTTCATTTGGGGTTCTTCTGGGTCTAATTTTTTGATAAAATTTTGTGATCATATTCTCCTTGAAGTGTAGGTTATGTCCACAAATTTTCATATTAAAACTCAATCGGGAAATTAGTTAAATAATTTATTGAAAAAAACTGCATTTTAGGCCTAAAAAACTGTGCAATTTTCAAATAATTATTTAGCTAACTTCTCGACTGAATTTTAATCTAAAATTTGATGGACCTAATCTACATTCCATGGAGAACTTGCTCACCAAATTTCTTCAAAAAAATCTACCCGGAAGCAACTCAAAAGAAAGAGACCTAAAATTGCAACTTTTAGGTCTACCTTACATGATCATTTTCCTTTACATTATAGGACATGCTATACATCAGTTTAACTATTTTGGAATTTCTTCTAATGGACTGTCGATGATTAGTGATATTAGATTTATTAGTTGGGGAAGTTAGAAACTTAATCAGAGTCTATTAATCTATTTGGGTAACTTATTTTGCAAGTGCTTTCTTAGTTAAATACTTCACTGTGTTATGTTTTTTTTGAAGTACCAAACTGCAGTTTCTTTAGATAAGCAAAAAATTGCCCCCCCCCCCCCCCCCAAAAAAAAAGCACGTTCTCCTTTTTTTTCACAACACTTTTTTGATTGAAGTAAAAGTACCCTTTTTCATCTAAAAAGCACTTCTGTTCCTGTGAAACAAGCACCCTAAAATGCAGTATGAGTATGCCTTCATACCTATATGAAGATCATGTCTTGTTTTTCGATTTACATAGCTAATCTACCTTTATTGCTTATTGCAGTCCTATATCACCATCGTACTCACCAACATCTCCTTCTTATTCACCTTCCAGCCCAACCTATAGTCCAACCAGGTAACTTCTGCATTTAATTTTAACCATCATCTGTTTTAGAGTTACTGGGAATGGCATACTACTCATTATATGGACATGTCTGAAGACAAGCTTTTGTTGTTGTTGTTTCTGTGATGGCATTTCAGCCCATACAACTCGGGCACAAGTCCGGATTACAGCCCTAGTTCTCCTCCATACAGGTATGTGAGGTTTGCTCAACTCACTGTGCATGTTCTTTCAATTTACAACTTCATGGTAGACAACACTTGTTCCAAATGCTTCTTTTTGAAGTAAAACTAATTTACTTTTTCCAAAAAATAACTTGTACCTTTAAAACAAGTCACATCTCAAACTCACATTGTTCAAATTTGTCTCATTCTTGCTCTTGATGGCTTTTACTTGTGTCCAGTCCAAGTGCAGGTTATTCTCCCAGTGCACCTAGGTATTCCCCGTCTTCTACAAGCCAATATACACCCCAAATGAGTGATAGGGATGACAAGAGCGTTAAAGATGACAAAAGCATACTCTAGAGACTAGAGTTAGTTGATATCGATGCAAGTTCCAATCTTTTGTATTTTTGTACGTGCAGTAGTTTCTGACTTCCATCCATGTTAATACAGGGGTAAGGCTACATTCGACCCCTCTTACCCCACAGTAGGTGGGGGCCTCTGCGGCACTGGGGTGATGATGATGATTATAATACCTTAATGACGTATACCATGAAGTAAATGCAGGACGATTTTGAGGATCATTTTAATTTGATCTTTTTAACGATGGTTGACACGTTATTCGGGCTCTTATTGCTTCTTATATGCCCATCAGCTGCTTGTTGCGCGCGGGGACAACCCCTGGTGGGAAAATCATGTTTAGAAACCAATACAGCTGTGGTGAGTAAGGATTTGCGGGAAGCTTTTCTGAAGGCGGTGTTTGTTATATATCAAATTGGTCCATGAGTGAAAGTGTGAAACTGTTAAAGCACTGAATATTCGAGTTCATCTGATTTGTTAATACTCTGTGTATAACATAATATCCAGCTATATACTCCATTTTTAGAAATGTTTCTCATTCCCAAAAAATAGCTACACGTCACGTAGGCCCTGTCCTGGACTGGCCTACATATTTTCTGAATCTGGGTCACCATCCTTTAAAAGTTCTTCCCAGTGATTCTAATGCAAAAAAGGGGTCTGAATCGTGTCAAGATCGGTCTCATTCTTTGGATTGATTACATTTTTTTGCCATTTGAATCATCTATCTATAAATAATACATCTATCTATAAATAATACATTTCAAAGATACAATTATGGAAAGTTTTGCCATGTGTCATCTTCTAAACAATCCTCTTTTAGATTCTCTTTCCAATTTAATATATTAATTAATGATGGTGCGTGAGATTACCATTTAATTACCATTTAATTGATATGATGGAACTCTACCCAAGCACGCTACCAAAAAAAAATCTATCTTTCATACGACACTACATTGATGGATTTCAACCACAAAAGTTTCTCAATTTTTTTGAATATTAAAAAATTTCTTTATTTTTTAAATTAATATATCTTTTTTATTTGTTATTCAATTTTTATAAAAAGTATATCAAAATTCATAATTTTTTATTATCTTTCATATGACACTAATATTATATATGTAAAAATAAAAATATTTTTGAATATATGATACATGGAGGGTTTTAGGCTCAAAACGTTTCTTAAATACATCCAAACTTTGAAGTTTAAAATCTCATGATTGTATAATGTCATATCATGCTACAATTAAGAGACATTTTATTTATTGGATGGAAGTGTCAATAAAGACATTAAGTTCTAAAACAGTTATTTAAAAACAATAAGTGAAATTGAATCAATAAAACAACTCAGTTAAGACTTTCTCAAAAATTAGAAAACATAGCAAGAGAAAGTAGATGCTACATGTTTGGGACCTCAACTAAAAAAAATATTTTTTTAAAAATTGCTATAACTTTTTTTATATTTGTAATTTGATTTTTACCAAAAACGTATCAAATTTTACAATTAATTACTATCTTTTGTATGACAAAAATATTGCATATATAAAAATAAATCTAAATGTACGGTTAATGGAGGAATTTTATTTAGTTAATAGAAAACGCTTGTGATCCACTTAATTTTAGAACTTGGGTCCACTTAAGAAAAAATTTGAGCCTAAAAACCTCCATAAACTGTATATTTAGATTATTTTTATTTTTATATATGCAATATCGATGTCATACGAAATATAATTATAATTTATGAATTTTGATACATTTTCTATGTAAAATCTGGATTATAAATAAAATTAGTTATAGCAATTTTAAAAAAGGGATTTTTTAGCTTCCCTTGTATTTTCTCCTTTCTACTGATTTGCTATCGTCCTTTGTGTGTTCAGATTTTTGAGAGAAAGTCGTTAACTGAGCTTTTTGTTGGCTCAATTTGAGTTGTTTTTGAATGAATGTTTCAGAACGTTTTTTGAAATGAAATATTCTAGAACTTAACCCTTATTGACACTTTTAGCCAATATATAAAATATCCCCTAATTGCAGCATGTTCATTTTTATATATACAATATTGATGTTATATGAAAGACAATAAAAAATCATGATTTTTACCTGTGTCTTGCACAACACAAAAGATATTTTTAATTTTAATTTTGTTATACTACGTAGAATCTAGAGTAAATATTTGATGGTGTCGCTTCCCCTCGACTTCTAAAGAGCACGGGTTACCGAAAAAATGTCGTTATTGAAGCTCGATGCTGAAAGACTAAAAATGATTCATTGTTATAGAAAACTCATTAGGTATCTCACGATCTCGCCAAAGGACTGAACATCGACCTCATATTTTTCAAATCCTCGCAGTGAGCTCCCATTAGTGTAAAAGGTCTCCTACATACATGCAGACCATGTGGCATTTCGTACATCCAAATTTAGTTTCGACATTTTGTATTTCACTCTCTCATATTATTTTGGCTTTTGTCCCCGTGCAAATTTTCTCTCTCTATTAATTATACTTGGTAAATTGAAATCTATATTTACTCCATCGATTTTGATGTTTACTTTCTGGGTTAAAGAAAGTTTTAGAGCTTTTAGTACTAATTGTGGTGACAACAACAACATTAGCTTGCAGGAGGACAATTGTTTATTGAGAGAACTATATGTACACTTTAATTAAAAGTGTATATATAGTGCACGTACAAGATAGAAATAACAAAATATTCAAGTATATCAATTTTTAAAAACTTTTTTTATTTAATTTTCCAAAAATTTTAACAATACAATTAGGAATTATGAAAATTTAGGAAATAATAAATGCTGAATTTGGTGAGTTTAAAATTGTGAAGAGCTGAATTTCAAATGTGCATTTGAACTAATAGTTAGATGAGGTAAATCTATTGACAAAAAGAGTTCAAAAAAATGCTCGGATAATATAAATCTAACAAGATTATATCATACATCAGACCATATCTGATTAGAATAGCCAAATTATACAAAAAAAAAAAGAAAAAAAATCAGTCCCATGAAAAACCTTTTGAATGGACTCCTTCCTAAAATTTAGAACTCCATATATTTATATTAGAACTCAATAAATCTTCTAAAAGAATTCATGAGTAAAATTTGGAGTTAACTAATTATCTTATTATGGAGTTATATAATCGCCATACAAGCAGAAATGCAATAGGCGACTTTAAAGTGTTACACATTAAACCTCAAAAACTAATTCTTTGATAGTGATTTAATTGAGAAAAAAATCTTAAAAACATTTTAAAATAATCAATAAGAATTTTATTCATGTATGAATGTATGCAGTGAGTTCATTTAACTCTATAAGTCAATGTTCCAAGTCACCAACTTCTCAATGAGATTGTTGAATTATAATAGAGTTGTCTAGACTATAATATTCATTTTCTGATTTTTAAACTGCACCCATACAATTTAATAATATCATTATACTTGAAATCTCAGATTTTAATTAATTATCATATGTATCATACTACATATAAGTCTATAACTGAGAAAGCAAGTTTATATGTATAACTTTGCCAGTCACATATCAATTATATAGACATTCTTCATACTCAATTATCTTAATTAGAAATATAGAATATAGAATATAATGTCATATTTTAATCCATTGATATATTCATCTTTTATATCAAATATCTAAAAAAAATTAAAACACATATTAGTGACCTCCAAACCTAGAATGTCCGGACATGTACTGTAACACAAATCTTTGATGTTTTCTTATTACGCATTCAGGTATCTACTTTCTCAAAAGTCAACATGTAGAATTATTGGAAAATATCGCATCCCAATAGGTTTTAGTGTCTCTTGGAGATATAATTGATGTATGATAAAACAATAATATAATAACCCGAACCAATGTATTTAAAGTAATTCTTTCATTTACATATTGCTTACATGAAAACCAGAAACCTAAATGTCTTATACAGGACAAAATTGAAGATCCACAATGCCTATAGTCGATTACAATCACCTCGAAGATATCCATTTAGGGTTCAATGGCAAACCCTCAAAAGTTGACGCAATCCCTTTAATAATACTGTGAAAACTTTAATCTGATTTCCATATAGTACAAGGTGGAAATGAAATGAGAAATTTGAAACTAAAGTGGAAAGGGAACCAAAAAATACTCAATAAGCTAGAAGGTTACGGTAACTAGAGTGAAGGAAAAGAATTAGAAAATGATGTAGAACTTGAAATGGTAGGATGACATAATGGTATGGCGGGCTAGGAAAAAATAACTCTTTAAATATTATTTAATTCAATAAAGTAACTACAAGTACTAAGCCGAAATGAAAGTGGAATACAATAGAATAAGAATCTTTTAAACACCCCCAAATCGTTTGATTTTTTTAACAAAAACTAATAACTTCCTGAAATGGAAAAAAGAGCGAAAACATCATAAAATTAACGTGGGAAAAAATAAATATATAGCAAGACTGTGAGTGTTAAAACTGGCTAAATGTAAATCTGTCATACGGTTATCTCAAATTTATGTTCACCTTTTTAAATATATTGATATAATCTTGATTCATTTTGGTCGAGAGTTTCAGCTCTCGGAAAGTTTTATTGTTACATATATAATGATCACATCACGACACTAATTAAAAGTAATGTTCAAGAGCTAGATAAATAAGTTAGACTGTATATAAATGGTACAGAGTAACTCTTTTACCCATGGGTGTAACTTTAATATAGTACTATTCGGTCATGAAAACATTTTTTCATTTTTTAATATGGGGCATTTATCTTTTTATTTTTCGTTGCACAATTTGACATATTTATGTTGCGATTATAGCTACTTGATGTGATGAGAATCTTGTGCATATGTTTTATTCATTCGACCTTCTAGGTAAAAATTGTCTAAAAATTTTATTTATTTTTTGTCTAAAAATCTAAAACATGCAACTTTTATTCGTTCAATAACATTTATTTTTACTTAATAAGATCATATATATCTTCAATATAATAACTCGATCTAATGAAAAATAAGTCGATCGCTACCAATCACAATATGCAACCTATTGTCTCCACCATCACCATCATTAAAATCGTTATGTCACAAAACTATATATTCTAAATTCTTTTCTTAAAGAAGAGCTCAAAAGACTAATTTGAAAATTTCTAAAACCTAGAATGACTAATATATTAAAAAAAAAAATACACTCATTTTTAGATAAATAAAATACAAAAATATGTAGTTAGTTTTAAGAAAACAGTAAATCACGAATGAAATTTAAAAGTAAAAAACATGCATTGAGCATTTTTTTTGTTTAGGTAAAAATAGATTAATTTCAATTGGATGCAACTAAGAGTTATAAAAAAATGCTCTTTTATTGGAAAATATAGACTGTAAGTGTGGATATGGATATGGTGTGGGGGGTATGGATATGTTTGCAGGGGTTGAGGTTAGTATTTAATTTTCAACTTAATATTGTTATTTTAAGTTATAAAATAAAATGGTAGAGTGTTGTAAAATCAGTGCCCTGGTCATCAACATAAAATGTTTCCATCATCACCAACACTTGAATTAAACACCTTGGCATGTTGGTAAGCTGTCCTCTAATGAACATATCCCTGTCTATAATCAATGTGAGATCATTCTAGAAAAATAAAACAGAATCTCAATAAATGGTTTTTCATTGCAGATACAACTCCAGGAACTCTGTTCTTGAATGGTCCATAGTTCTCATTGATAATTCGAACATCAGGTAAGCTACTGAATAAAGTTTTTCGTGGTAGGGGTGTCAGGCTTTGTTTGTTTAGTTTCTAATGTCTGTGCTGTCAATGTGTGCAGTGGTCCCTGGAATTTACTGTGCCTCCAATGGATCCATCAACCTTCTTCCCAATATCTGCCTGATTTACTTCTTCATCGACTTATAGCCACTTGAAGGTACCCCCCCCCCCCCTCCTGCCATTTTGTCATTTTTCTTGTCTTCTTATCGTTACATATGGTACCTGCCTTGGAACCATCTGCATGATCGGGTTTGACGTATTCCAGGCAGGGTAGACACTGGGATGGGTAAGGGTATCCCCCAATGTAAAAAGAGTTTGTGTGTCTATATCCAAAGCAGAATTATGATTAAAATGGATTTAGTCTTAAAATTAAATTTGGTTGGTTCAAAAACAAAAAAAAATCCTAAGAGAATTGGATTTAAGAAATTGGTTTTGCACTTCTATTGGCATGATGTGAATGAAATATGTGAAATTGTGTACACTCTATTGCAGGTGACCAACATATTGCCACTTCAAGGTGGGCTCGCCCCAAAATTTTCACAAAGAACTGTGCTGGTTACTGAGAATTACCAAGTGGTTTGAGACGGAGGGATATGAAAAATAATTTTGAATAATAGAGTTGTGTATCAACCATCAATTAGAATTTGATTGGTTTTTAGGAACATCACATATCCTATTACTCTTCAACTAGTTTGGATTTTGGATTTTGGATTTTGGGAACAAAGTAAACCGAATACTTTGCGTTAAATGGTTTGAATTATTTATGGGATTTCATTACATGTCCTCTAATAATTTCACTTTATTGCGTCCAATGGCTCTTTTTCCCATCATTTCCAATGGAGCCAAAGAGGCAAAGACTCACTATTTTTTGGCTTGGAAATATGATGAAATAAAGTAAAAAGGATCGCTAAATTGTTTGTGTTTCTTTGTTATGAAGCAACAATCACTCCATGCAATTATCATTTTAGATCATATGGAAATAGTCTCTTTGTGCTTTAGTACAACGGTAAAGCTTTGTACATCGGACCTACCCATACCTCACTGTAGGTGGAGCCTTTGTTGCACTGGGTAATGTTGCGTTTGGTGGCCTTTTATCTTGTGAAATTAGTTGAAATGCTTAAAATGTTAAGAATAAGAAAACAACAATGTTGTATGTTTTGTTATATATTTATTTCAAAAGTGAAAAGTGAATACATCATCAAGGGTCAAATTATCATCATATTAATACAGACTGCCCAGTGCCCCTCCCATATTATTTTGACGAAGGAAGACTCGAGATTGTTGAGCCAACAAGGGAAGACTCTGGATTGTTGGCCTGACGAAGGAAGACTCTTAAATCTTAATTGTTGACATGACAAGAAAAATTATAGGATTGTAAACTTGACAAGGGACGCAACGTGTAGTCGTGTAGTGAATTAAAAAACCATACCACTTCATCAAGTTTTCCTCTGCTAACCCATTCAACGACAAACATTCGATAATGCATGTACTTCTGCATCCTACAACCCATTGTTTGGAGAAAGTTAGTTTTTTTACTCCATAGGCATTGGGGGTGGGGGTTTGGAGGACTTGAGGTAAACTGGGATCAATCTCACTCCATTGAGAATTGAACCGGGAACCTCCCATGAGGGAGAGTGAGTCGGCGACCAGCTGGGTTGGACTGCTAAAAGAGAGTTGAACTTTTAGTCCTTCAACTATTAAGTACTCCATTTGTGATTATCTAGTCTTGTTATTAATGTTTAAAGGGAAATTTCCCTAAAGAGGGGTAAACCGGTTTTGAAATTTTAAAATAGGACTGATATGTTTTCCATCTTGAAATATGAATCGTTATTGTCATGATTGAAAAATAATACCACTAGTGACAGTAAAAACTGTCATGTTAATGCCTAGTACTGCAACTATTTGGCAGTAATAATTTCAAGATGACAATATATACTATTATGATACTCTTATTTCGGGATGAAAAATATAGCAGTCCTATTATGGTATTCCAAAACTTGTTTACTCTTATTTTGGAAAGTTTCTCATGTTTAAATCAAGCAGTCTTTGCCCCCAACTATGAGAAAGTTCCCCATGTTATGCTCTCTACTTCTTCTTGCTCAATACTCCTAGTTGCTCTTATAATTGCATTGAGATGCAAGCCCATTAGGCCTCAAAATTGTAGCTCAAAATTCACTTGGAATTAATTTCATAACGTTTTAGAGGCCGTTTGGAACCACTGTTTTTCGGCTTATCAGGCTTATCAGCCAGCTTTTTCACCAAACACGTAATTTTTGCTTTCGCGCGCTGAATTGTGTAATAAGCAGAAAAAGTAAGGTTGGAGTTACTTTTCTGGCTGTATTGGCTGAAGTTACTGTAGATGACCATTTTAGCTATTTTTACATATAATTTTTTTCTTTATTTTATTAATAAAATATATTTTAAAAATATTTTTTTCTTAAATCAGCAGAATCAGCCAATGCAGCCACTTCAGCCAGAACTTCATAAATTTCAGCAGAAACAGCCCAAACAGCCGACTTTCGTGCTACCAAACGGGCTCTTAAAGTTACTCCCTCCGCATTTAAATGTTCCATACATTAAGTTATGACAAAATGAGCCCGTTTGATAGCATGAAAATCGGCCGTTTTGGCTGATTCTGCTGAAATTTATGAAGTTCTGGCTGAAGTGGCTGCATTGGCTTATTCTGCTGATTTAAGAAAAAATTATTATTAAAATGTATTTTATTAATAAAATAAAGAAAAAAATAGCTAAAATGGTCATCTACAGTAACTTCAGCCAATACAGCCAGAAAAGTAACTCCAACCTTACTTTTTCTGCTTATTACACAATTCAGCGCGAAAGCAAAAGTTACGTGTTTGGTGAAAAAGTTGGCTGATAAGACGAAAAACAGTGTTGCCAAACGCCTCAAATACTTAACGGTGAAAAGTAGGGGTAATGGATAGTATAGAAAAAGTAGAAGAAAATGTGAAAAAGTAGGAAAGAAAGGATAAAAAATAGAAAAAGTAAGAGTAATTGAATATTTTTAAAAGAAAAACTTGTCAAAAAGGGAAAGTGTATAAAACTTTCAAATACATTCCAAAAAAGAGAATGTATGAAACTTTTAAATAGGGAGGGAGTATGGACTTGGCATAATTTTTTTTGTTATATACCTTGTTACAGTTTAATTCGTGTTCATATTTTTATTGTGCTAAATTAGGCTTACAAAAATATTGTGCTAAATTCCTTATTATAGTAGATAGTATTTGGTTTGATTGGGCGTTTAGGAATTTTCAGTCAATAACATCGAGGCCCATGGGTACGCGATTATACCAAAGTGCGGACCGCCGGGTTCTTTCGCGCCTGTTGTTGCGCCCTAAAACCCAAAACCTTAGATACCAATGCCGGATTACCAGTGTGAAGGCGCGAAGAAGATGAAGAAGCCGAAGAAGAGAAAATTATCAACTTCAGGCGAAAAAGAAGTGCATCCACGGCCTGCTAAAAACTTGCGCAGTGACACCTCGGAGCCGAAAAACATAGCTTCTGTAGAGTCTGAAGTAGATGGCAACAAAACAAGTTTCCACCTTCAAGATGACCCGCCCTGGAGAAACCTGCAGCTCATTCTCTCCCTGCAGAATAAGGATATTTCTCTTTCAATGTTAGTGGCATTCCAATATATGTCGTTTACTTACCTTTTGACTGTGTGTATTTATGTGTGCATGTGTGCTCCTGATAAATAAGTTCCTTAGGTGCAGGAAGGTGGAACTTGCATTTGATTATGTGGAAAAGATGACAATTGAGGGAGCTGAGGAAAGAAACCGAGATTCAGAGTCAGTTAGCTTTCCCAGAACACTTATTTTTCTCAATAATTGGGTTCAGACAGAGATGATATCTTCTTTAAAAGGAAGCACTGCTCAAGGAACATGCTTAGACGTCAGATGTTGGAAGGTTCTTAGGTTCTGCTTGGAGGAATCAAAACAGCTCAATATGGCGTTGAGCTTCTCAAGACACTTCTTACGGGTTATTCAGTGTATTTCAAGTCATTTGTGGTCGCATCTAAATGCTGAATTGAGTAAAGAGGAGTTTGAGTTTTACAATGTTGTTCTTGATTGTATATCATCAGTCTTCTCATCTCATGGGGGAATTTCCAATGAAAATTTGGACTTATGGATTTCAGTTATTAATACTGTGCTTAACCTCATCCAAAATATTTTCACCTTCAAGCTTGAACACTCCAAGACGGGAACTTTTGTCTTGCAATTATCATGTTATGTGCATGAACCATTTGCAAAATTTCTAAGGGTACATCCAACAAAAAAGAACGGTTTTCGCGACTTTGTTGATAAGCTTTTGGAGCCTCTGATGCTTTCATGGGATTTGTTGCATCTTCATACCTGCAAAAGCAGTCCTCACTTGATATTGGATCTTTTAAAGTTAATTGAAGAAGTATTGTCTCATGGATTGTTCCACCCTATGCACATTGAAGGATTTTTTGAGCTGCAGAATACATCAAGCTATAAAACACTGGATGGTAAGGGTGTGGAAGTTCAGAAGGTGGTTATTAAAAGTTATCATAGGATTTTCTTTGATGTGTTGGGGAAGACTATTTCGAGGAAAAATGCATCATCTGCAGGTGGTTTAGGAATGCTGCTTCGCTTGTTTATTAGTGGCATCAGTAAAAACAAAGGACTTTCAGTTGGCAAAGATGGTCCAAGTAACTCAATTTCTGAAAGTTCTTCTACAAGTTCTTTAGTTTCTGGAATAAATTATGCTCTTGGTCTGAATGCTGAAACTATGAAGCTCTCTTTTGACTTTTTTGTACAGATAATGGAATATTTTTTATTAGAGTTTAATACTTACTCGCAAGCTCAACTAGAGGATGGGGCTATGCTTCTTGATGCTCATTGCAAACTCAGATCTGCCAATAAACTACTTTTTGAATTATTGCATGCAAGAGTCTATGTACGGATAGAGGACACCTCTGAGGGAGCATGTCTCAATTTCCTGAGATTGGTTTATGATAGAATCATGTTACTTTCTTCCAAAATTATTAATGTACTAGAAACATCATTTGCTTCAGATAACAATGGGGTGCTGGTTTTAATAGTCAAAGAGCTGGTTCATGCTGTGCATTACTTGTTGGATATTGATTATGAAGCCATTGAAGATAATCTTGAAAGGTTATGGGGAACAGTGATTTCATTTACAACATTTAGCTACTCTTTGGTGGATGTGCCTGATCAGGATAAGTTAACCACGGAGATACAAAATCTGGGATGTAAAGTGGTTCACCTCTATAGCGAACTGAGACAGGTTTGCGAGTTTCTTCTTTTCAGCTAGTCACTTGAATATTTCACATCTTGAGAATAGAAACATCTTAGGGCCTATTTGGTTATATAGAGTTATGTGTGTGTCTGTATTTGATTTTTTAAATCCTAATTCATTTCTTAAGTTAGAAAGCACACTGATTAACCTTTTAGTAGTTTTTGAAAATTCATGTTTTCCAGCCCCCCCCCCCCCCCCAAATAAAATAAAATAAATAGAAGGATCGTCCAAGCAAACAACTTGATATTCATCCCTTCACTAAACAAAGCCCCCCCCTTTGTTAACATGTGACTTGGAAGGCATGAAATGCATTAAGTGTTAACAGTGCATAAGTGAAAGCTGAATTTCACCCAATATATACAACTTAGAGAGTTAGAGTGAATCAAATACGGTGGTAAGAAAGGAAGGATAATTACATAAATTCTTTATTTTTGTGTTTTGAAAAATTATTGCAGGTTGACTCGTACATTTTTTATGGGTGTGTTTTTCGCCTTTTAATGACATAGTTTTGAGATCCTCACTGTACATCTGCTATCATTGTAGGTGAATACACCCATCTTTTCACTGTGCAAAGCAGCCAGAAGCTCAGTATTACTTCCAGAAAGAAGCATTCAACCATATAAAGCTTCTTTTAATAATTCATTTAGCTTGTTCATATGCTGCCCCGAGTTCAGGCTTTCCATTAGTAGTGCCATCAAGTCCATACCAGAGGGACAAGCTAGTGGATGCATCCGGCAGTTAATAGCCGATTTTTTAGAATCATTGGAGTGGATAAAAACTACACCTGTGCTTCCTGCTGAAACTGACCAAATAAAACAAGATCTCCATAAAAATGACTTCCAATGCTATGATATGCAAAGTGAGTTGTTGGGAAGAAGTATATCTGAACTGTATGTCCTGATTCTTGACTCACTGACAGTTACCGCTGGAAATTGTTCCCTAGTCAGCATTTCCATGAAGGATTTGATGGCACGAATTAGCAATATTTTAAGGAGCCTAGTATCAGAAAAGGTGAATAGTATTGATGAGTTATTGTCTGTTTTTATGAGAACAATCCTTGATAAGGGGAGTGGATCAGGAAACAGGGTGATGTCAGCACACTGGATTTTAGTCTTCTTCTTTCGTTTGTATTTATCTTGCCGAAGCTTACAACGTCAATCTATCATTCTACTGGCGCCGGATATGTCAAAGAAGATGTCAGAAAAAATGGGGGATTCATTTACAGCATACTCTGGAAATGAGTGGCTAGAGAGGGCTGATTTGTCAGAAGAAGGCTATTTTTCTTGGATCATTAAACCTTCTTCTTCTCTTGTTTCTATTCTAGATATTGTTTCTAATATTAATCTTCAACTAGCTTCTATGGATTGCTCCCCCCTTATTTATGTAATGAATACCATGGCTGTTCAGAGACTCGTTGATTTGAATCGACAGATAAAGTCCATTGATTATTTGTTTTGGAAGATTGAAAATCTCAACCAGCACAGGATCATAAATGATACTGTCTTGTCATTCAATAGCAAAAAGTACCACAAGTGGAAGATGATAGAGTCAGATTTAAGGCATGAGGCTGCAGCTCTCACTAAATTCATAATGGGGTATCTATCATTAGTGGCTAAGAGTCAGTTATATATTCCCCCATCTGAAGGTGCATCCTCTGAGGACATTTTTTCCAAAAACACATGTGACATTGGAAGATGGAATTTTGGTGTGGGATCTTTGAATGAGAAGACATTGGCATCTGCCTTGTGGTGGTTCCTTTGCCAAAATATTGATGTATGGTGTACCCATGCTAGCAAAAAGGACTTGAAAAAGTTCATTTCAGTTTTAGTCCATAGCTCTGTTCCTTATTTCAGCAAGGAGTTGAATGAAAACAAAATGCGCATAAAACTGACAGCTACAAGGAAAGTCAACATAAGTCTGACCTCATTGGAAGTGTTAAGCAATAGTGTTCTGTACGAACAAAGAGTAAGATGCAGGCCTGGTTTTGAAGTCATAAGTTTATCCTTTCGTTCATTTCATTCTGATGAAAATTTTCATGCAATCATGTGTATTAAAGATTAGCCACATCTTGGTTATTAGGAAAAAAACATGGTTAAAAGAGACTAAAGGCACTCATTTATCTTGATTTATTTTTAAATTTCCATTCTAGAACTCTATTGTGTAACTGATATTTTGCTAGGATCCATAACTGAAACTGTTCTAACTTTTTGTTACAATAGTTTGTTCACAGGAATATGGCTTCAGTGCTGTGTAGGACATTAGAGAAGTCTGTTGCATCATTGTATTCTAGTTCGGATGATGCTAATTTAAACTCCCCACCTGATTGGAGAAAGATTCTGGATGCACTTGAAATATCATCTACTGCTTCAAGGGACAGGAATGGAAAGAGCTTGCGTTCATTGTGGATAAAGGCATTATCACATGTACTGATCCTGCCAGCTGAACATTCAAAAAAGAAATTATCCTATTTTAATGAAGTAGAGTTCAGTAATTGTCAGGGTGTGCTCAATCTTCTGAGCTGGATGCCAAAAGGATATTTGAGTTCAAAATCTTTTTCCCGCTACAGAACCTGTATTCTCAACCTTGAATGGTATTTCAACCTTTTTGATTTTCTCAAATATTCTAAGTTTGCCTTCTACTAGTGAGCATAGTTTTCATGGTGTCGCAACGTCATTGCCTTGGCGTCACGCTAGTCATTGTGGTCTCTCTACTTGCTGTATGTCTTCTATATTGGCACATCAATGCCACAGCGTCTGAATGACGCCACACGACGCCACGGATCCTAACTCAAACCATAGTCTGAACAAGCCCAAACCCAATAATCAAATAACCCATCAAAATTTAAAAATAAGGCTGTTGACCTATCTGAAGAAAAGAGGGCATCTCCCGAGTCCAGACTCGTCTCGGTCATCACCACCGCCTCGCTCGTCACCATCCGCCATCATCTCGTTTGCCGCCATCCGCCACCATCTCGCTCGTCGCTATCCACTATTGTCTCCTTCGTTTCCATCTGCCATCGTCTCGGCTGTCGCCATCCACCATCGTCTTGGCTGTCGCCATGACGCCATCTGACATTGTCCCATTGGTCGCCATCTGCTATTGTCCCGCTCGTCGCCATCCAGAGCATCGCCGTCCTCTCATGTGATTTCCCATTTCCCATCTTAAGTCTTTGTTTTTTCGTCAGCCTGAAGGGCATGTTGTAATTTTATGCTATTAATGCTTTAAATATTGCAGCATGTGTAAACAAAAAATTGATTATTTGAGTAACATAATATTATGATTCATTTGATAGGTACACGCAAATCTGGCGATGAATGGTTGAATATGAAAACTGAAATTGAAGAAACTGAAAAGTAACGATACAGATGAGGCAAGTTCGAGAGTGCCTCGTCTTTCCCAACTCCCAGTCCAATCCAAGTTCTGCCTCACTCCCTTATTCCCTTCTTCTCATTCTTATAGTAATTGTATTCTAACGGGCCAGCCCATAACTAAATAATACCAGGCCTAGACCCCCTTTAACATAATACTCCGTAACAAACTATGTAACATTATTTTATTATTATTACTCCCTCCGTCCCCCAATTAAGTTCCTGGTTTGGCACTGTTTTGATGTAGATAATTTGCCAAATAAGGAAAGTATTGAAGTGTGAACTTACTTTAGGGACTGCCCAAAAAGGAAAGTGAGAACTTCATTGGGGGACGGAGGGAGTATTATACTAATACTAATAGGTTCCTATCATATCTCCCCCCTTAGACAACCACCTTGTCCTCAAGGTGGATGATAGGAAACAGCCTTAACTTTCCACTTCGTCTTCATCCTGGTGCCTCTTCCTTCCCAATACATCCCGGATTTCTGGACAATGATCTTCATTACTTGACCCTTCCTCACCCCTTTTGAACAAAGCTGTCCACAACCCGGTTTAACCAGATTCTCTTCAAAAAGAGGTATACTGTCATATGGAGAACATAATGATTGTTCTCTTGCTCAGGTTTCCCGGTAGACCAGCAAATGTTCTCATCAAAATGCAACTCTCTGGGGTTTGTCAGTATGAAAAAGGAATTGAGTTCACTGCTTTTCATATCACAAACAAGTGGTACTGTAATAATATCTCCAAATGATCCACGAAGTTTAAAGTTTACTGACTCTACTTTATCAATGCCTTTCAATTTTGTAAGCCCAGATGACCAATCAAGTTTAGGTATCCCTAAAACTTCTTCAAATCCAAATTCACTCCCACCATAGACATTAGCTGAACAACGCAACAGAATAACAGGAAACCTTTTACCTCCAGATGATGGTTGTAAGTTAACAATGCTATCACACTGATTTTCCGCCTTGTGGCATTCCAAATAGTCTGGCAGAGACAAGTTCAAACAACCTCCAAACAGCCTCATATTTTGCACTCCTGCACCCTCTGTGTTTGGCTGTAGCCTATTCTCAACAATGTGGTGAAGATTTTGAGAAGTGACACGCAGAACTCTACCAAAAACCGAGTTGAAGAATTCCATAGAACCTTTAGAAGCCTCAGAAGCTGGGCACCCAAGAGAAACAGGAACTGCAGTTGCGCCAATTTCAGGTCCAGCGACCACTGACAATTTCTCCTCGTTTTCATTTTCGCCTTCAGTGAACTTCTCTGCATTTTCTCCAAATTGTGAAGTACTCCTATCATCAGAGGAAGGTTGCCGCAGGTTAACAGACTCCTGCTGTGAACCTGGAGAGTCTGAGTGCGAAACAATTTGCGAAGGGGAAGAATAAGCGAGAGCACTGTACGACACGGTTTGAGATGCCCTCTGTGAACTGTTAGAAGCCTCTCACGATGACGATTGGTGAGATATGAGTAGAGACGGAAAACTGGAACTCTGAGACGCGGCTAGAGACTCAGGCGAACCCTGCAAGCTCAGAACAACTGATAGCGACGAAGTTGTGGATTGCGATCTGGGAGAATCTTCGTGCGACACAGTCTGCGCACTTAGTGACGAACTGGAATACCCAGAAGGCCGACGACTTTTAGGGCTCCTAGATCGATGTCTGCGATGATGTTGATCCATACTGTTCAGCATATTTTTCATCTTGTTCAGCATAGTTTTCATCTCCGCTTTCATATCCTTCATATGTCGTTCTATATTGTCAAAACTCTTTTCCATTCGAGGCGTCATATAGAATTCCTCCATCGCTCCCGATTGTTGTTGCTCTGGGATGATCAATGATTCCGATTCTCTGCCTCCAGGAAGCTGTGTGCTCTGATACCAATGATAGGTACACGCAAATCTGGCGATGAATGGTTGAATTTGTAAACTGAAATTGAAGAAACTGAAAAGTAACGATACAGATGAGGCAAGTTCGAGAGTGCCTCGTCTCTCCCAAGTCTCAGTCCAATCCAAGTTCTGCCTCACTCCCTTATTCCCATTCTTATAGTAATTGTATTCTAACGGGCCAGCCCATAACTAAATAATACCAGGCCTAGACCCCCTTTAACATAATACTCCGTAACAAACTATGTAACATTATTTTATTATTATTATTATTATTATTATTATACTAATACTAATAGGTTCCTATCCTCATTTGGTAGAAATTCTAATATTAGCAATTTGTTGTGCCTGATAATTATAACAAGAAGCAGAAAAGCCCTAGATAAGTTAATTAGTTCAATAGAGGAAAACAATCCATTATCATTGATTCTTTCCAGTATAGAATGCTGCAGGGAAATATAGTTTTTTCCCTAATTTAGTTCATTTGGTGTTCCTCCCAGAACACATGAACGGTATCCATGTTTTTAGCTTCTATCCTTTTTGTGTTTTGTACTCGTATTATCTTTGTTCTGCTGAAGATTTCTTAAAAATGGTTTTGTGTTTCAGGCTTGTAGTGGGTAGCTTATTGGGATTACGCAATAAGCTGTCTTCATCTGATTGTTACAAGCTTCTAAAGTTGTTGTTGACCTGCCGGAGGACTTTAAAATATCTGCTAATGGCATCATTTGAAGAGAGGAAAGAAGGTTGTCAGTCCTCCCTCAGTTGTGTGCTGTCAGATGGTCCATTTGCTTCAATCTGGCTCATGAAATCGTTGTCCACTGTGATTGGGTTTGAAAATGCGTGTTTAGAAGGTTTTGCTTCTCAGGTGAAACAGTTGATGTTTTCATTAATGGATCACACATCACATGTGTTCTGGACTCTTATTAAGGATCAGTTCAAATGTGTGATTTTCTCATTAACATATGCTGATAAGCATTGCGAAGAAAGTTCCATTTCTTCTATCGAACATCAAGGCATTGATATAGATGAATGTGAACCCCTTTCAGACCCCCCTTTCAATAAGGATGCATTTAAAAGCATTACAGTTATTGCTGAAGCTTTGAGCGAACACATAAAGATGTCATTTGACTCTATGAATGCATTGTCTAGTGAAAATAATGTAGACTCAGCAGCGTGTCAAGAGTTGAAAATGATATCAACAACAACCTCCTGCTTCCAGGGCTTTTTGTGGGGCCTTGCTTCTGCATTGAATGATATGGATTATGAAGCGCGCTGTCAATATGATCTGTTAAAAAATGAACATATGTTCAAAATCAAGTATTGCATTGACAGGTGTACGTATTTCATAAATAATAGTGTACATCTGCTGGTACTTGAAGGTGATCAGTTGCCTCAATGCTTGCCAGAAACCAAAAGTCTTGCCACTGATGCAATTAAAGAAAGCAAGTCTTTGCACACAATCGGTGGCTCTATAATGAATGAAGAAAGGATTCACCATTCCAAGTCAATGGACTCGTGGCTTATTGGCACAAGGGGTGGCTCCAGTAAAATGTCTGACCAAATAAAAACAGATATTGAAGCTCTTTTGGTTAAAGTGGGCACTGAAGAAGGATGTGTAAAGAAATCTTTGCTGCAGGCTGTTTTGAGGGGGGAAAATCCTGAGGTAGCCTTTTGTCTGAGACAGCTATTCATTGCTTCTTCAGCTATTTTGAGACTAAATTTACAGATCAACTGCACTAAGTTATCTTGGAGTTTGATTCCTTCTTTAATTCAAATTTCAGAGTTTCTGCTTCTGGAATTTGCCAGTGTTAGAGAGTCACAAACATTTTCTCTTGTTTGCTTATATGGGGTTGTGAAGTTTCTTGAAGAATTAGGAAAATACTTTCCTTTGTTGAATCCTTCATTCTCAAGGAATTCATACGTCAGTCTTATAGACTTGCACTTGAGAGCAATAGGGAAATGCATATGTCTGCAGGGAAAGAGAGTTAGCCTAGCAATAGAGGAGAGAGAATCAAGTACTAAGGTGCTAGGCTTTCCTGTAGAACTTGAGCCAAATGAATCCCATTGGACTTGCAACTTGGATGAATTAAAATCTCAATTAAGTAGCTCGTTCAGAGCTTTTGTTGGAAAAGCATCTGAACTGCATTTACTATCCGTAGTTCAGGTTATTGAGAGATCAGTAGTAGGGGTGCAGGAAGGTTGCATGGTAAATTATGAAGTGTGTACTAGAAGTGCTGATGGGGGAATGGTTTCCTCAAATGTTGCTAGTGGCATTGAATGTTTAAATATGGTTCTGGAATCATCAACAGGTATCATTCATGTTTCAATCTTGTTCTGCTGATTAAATGAAATAAAAGCAATTATTTGCCTGATAACAACATTTCATATTTTCATTAGATCTAGAGTCTTTATCTTCTGCTGCAAAATTCTTTAATTGCCTTATTTGCTGATGCTTTTAATTTGATTGATTCTCATTGGGTTGGTGCTGATTGGTAACAATGCTTTAATATAGAAGGTTCTTGAAGCATTGTGCAGTTATTAGATTCACGAGTTTATAATTGAGCTTAACATATTACACTTAGGTCAAAGAATGACAGAACAATGATATCCGATTGACAGAATTCAATAAGAAAAATAAAACAGATCAAAAGCTTTATTCAATAGGTAAACCGATCACAATGGATACAATTCACCTAGGACCATTTGAGATGCCCAATCTCCAAGTTCTATCTCAACAGAAATAACAGCCTGCCAATTCTAGCTATTATTCTCTTATTTATAGTAATAGTCCACGCAGGGACAATACTAACTAACTACCCCGTTAGTTAACTACTACCGCCTTCTTATTCTTTCTTTGATACACTTTATTGAAATATTTAATAGGCTGCTGCACCACTTGTCTATCCAGGAAGCTACTCATTTCCTTAGATCCCATCAAGCTTAGCCAGTAAATATTTTTTATACGGGTACACTCTCTAGGTATGTTTAGATCACAAAAAATGCAATGGAAATGAAAAAATTGAAAGGAGCCCTTGGGGAGTTATTCATAAATCTGACTTTACCTTTGAAAGTACAAAGGAAAATCAAATGCGATTTATGTGTTTAAAACCTTTATATATATTTAAGTTTCTTGTTCTTTGTTGTGTAACGAAAAAATAAAAATCAACGGGGTAAACCGTTGCCCAGATAATCAACAATAAAAATACCGTTGCCCAAAGCCAAAAGGCTAAAACCAATTTTAGTCCAAGATAATCAAGAATGAACCCTGGCAAGGGGTATAAATAGCCTTCTACAAGAAACCGTAATCAAGCCCAAATTAATTAAATCCTAATTAGGCTCATACTAACTCTACTTAAGTACTCTTCTAATAATAGGCCCAAACTAAAACACAACATTAACTTAATAATAATAATAATAAAACTATAATGACATCCCATAACCGGCCCACGGAAGTGGGCCCAAGCCCGGTCCTGCCCCATGCTCTTCCCGCTCTCTATCATTCTTTTTATGCATAAATAAATTTAAAATCTAGTTTGCACAAATATCTAAAATATCTAAATCCTTCAGTTTTCCTCCTAGTATTTTCCAGGTTCCGTATGGTGCGTCTATAATATTCATTTTTCATTTCCTTCTGAGTCGGGCCATGTCTTTGCAGTACTCCTAGTCATTGTATGAGGCTTTTGTTATCATAGATTTTTCGTAGTGTATAATGTTACCCATCTGATTTTGTAGGGAGAAAGCGCTTAGCTGTGGTTAAAAGGCACATTCAGAGCTTAGTTTCATGCCTTATAAATGTGGTCGTGCACTTGCAAGGCCAAAACATATTCTGTACGAGTGATGATTCTAGTAATTGTTGTTTTGCTCGTCCTGATTCTGGCTCTGTCATTCTCATGTGCGTTGAGGTTCTGATAAAGATTTGTGCCAAATATGCCTTTTTCCAGCTAGAAAAGTACCATATTGCCCAGCTTTTGCGGCTGCCTGCGGCAATATTTTTCAATTCTTTTCAGCTTCATGTTTCTGGGGCCCCACTAGCTAGTTCAAAAGAACTACCAGGAGTTTCTGACATTGGAGTGACTGAATCTCCTAGAAGAGAATGCATCAATGCCATCTATCAGCAATTCATCTTGAAGCTATATGCTGCTTGTTGTCGACTGTTGTGTACTGTTCTTAAGCACTACAAGAGGTTCTATTTATTCTCTAGCTCTTGGTTTATTTAAAAAGCAATAGCTTTCAATTGTAATAGATTTATTTTTATTCCTACTTGGAATATTCCTGCCCCCTCCATCCTCAGAAAAGTTGGTCTTTGCACTGCATGTTTAACTTTGCAGTTTGCACTCCATTTTTTGGTTTCTTTGAATATGCACCCTAGAGTGGGGGGGATTCAAATATAAAGGTAAATCATGGGATGCAAACTTAAACGAATTTGGTAAGAAGACATAGAAATTACCTGCTTTGAGGTGCATATTGAAAGAAAACAAACACCGGGTAGAGTCAAATGTTTCCCCACCCTGGCCCATATTATGCCAACATTTACGTTTGTTCTTATTATCCTATGAATCATTCTTCCACAATTCCGTCTAAGATTGTTTACTTTGACAGTGCCAGCTTTTATTCGCTGTGGTTAAATCGAGTGTTTTTGTATTTGTGCAGTGAGACTCAATGCTGCATTGCCCTCCTTTATGATTCAGTTAGTAAACTTCTTCATTGTCTGGAGATGGACAATGATTTGATTGGTAAAGCAAGAAGACATTTAATAAGGGATGTACAAGATGGAGTAAAATGTGCCACCTTTCTCAGAAGAATCTACGAGGAGGTAGGTGTGATTTTTATTGAGATAATATTATCTTCTTGAGGGGTATTTATAGTCAAATTTCCCATTCTGCAGATTAGGCAACACAAGGATGTCTATCATACCAACAGCTTTCAGCTACTGTCTAACTATATATGGGTTTATTGCGGATATGGTCCTCATAAAATTGGTATAAAAAGGTTGTTAGCCCTCTCATCTTTATTTCTATCATAACTAGATTTAAAAGCTCTTGCATTTTTATTTACAGTGGTATCTCTCATATTTGCAGGGAAATAGATGAAGCCTTGAGACCTGGTATATTCGCCCTACTTGATATTTGTTCAACAGAAGATCTTAAGTATCTTCACACCGTATTTGGAGGTATAAATCACCCTGCCTATATTCTATAGGAGTTTGCATTCTATTATTCACGCATAATATTACCAAGATCCTAAGGTCTGTTCGGAACCAGGAAAAGATGTCTACGTTGGAAAAATAAGGGAAATTTTGTAAGGAAAGAAAATTGTGTTTCTTTTTTTAATGTTCGAACCCAATAATTTGTTTTTAGATAATTCTTCAAACCCATTTTCTTTCCGTTTAGTGGGGAATTTCAACTTTGCACTACTTTTGCGGGTTGCAAACATAGACTAAAATTTTCTTCACTGGCTCTCTTGCAGAGGGTCCTTGCAGAAGTGTCCTGAAAACTTTGCTTGATGATTACAAGCTAAATTTCCAATACGAAGGGAAGGTGTGAGACCTTATTATGCATTTATGCACGCATGATCCCTCGAGCAGAAAACTCTTCAGCCATGCAGCCGAAGGCCCGAAAGCAGCATCTCTTCTGTATAGCGGGCAGATGCAGTAATGCATGGTGCTCATCTTATATATTTTTATGTATTCAATCACGAGGTTGTATTTGAATCAAAGAGGTTGTAATGTAATTTACATCACATGTCAACATCCCATTGTATTAGAGCGTGTGTGCGTAAAATCAATTTATCTTTTGCTTCGTTTGTTGTTGACTCAAGACTAAAAATTGGGTTTAGAGATGCCATATAAACTATATAAAAAATCATTATCAGAAGCAACTCTCAGTACATCATATTATGTACTTTTAGCAACCAAATACAAGCTACATCAAAGAAAACTAATAAAGGCATTTAAGGCAATGGTAACTCAAAGCCTCAAACGTTTTCACTAGTTGCCACTTGCCATATCTACTAGTTGTTTAGTTGTCAACCAATCAATCAAATGCAAGGTTAGTCATGGACTTGGTTTGGGCCAACCGGCCCGCTATTGTGTGGGCCCGGCCTGGTGCTTCGGGTCCCAAACCGGTCTTTGACCCGGAGTCCGGACCGTAGGGTTTAGCGGGGCGGGCTCGGGCTGTAGAAAAGGTGACCCGGCCGGGCCCAGTTCGGGCCATTTTTTTTTTTTGGTTTTTTCATTTTTTGGTTGCCCCCCGGGTTGGGCTGGGTGTTTTGGGGGGGTGGGGGTGGGGGGTCGGGGGGGTGAGGGGGGGGGTTAGGGGGTAGTTAGGAAAGCAAAAAAAGAAAAAATATATATAGGCCCGAGACCCGGCCCGAACCGGACCTAGTCCTGGACTCGGTTTGGGCCCGGTTCGGGCCTTGAACAGGCCGGGCCTCGGTTCACCAAAAGGAGGGCCCAGGCCCGAACCGGCGGTGACCGGTTCCGGGCCAGACCGGGCCGGTTCCGGGCCGGTTCACCTGCCCCAATTTTTTATTTTTTTATTTTTTGGCTTCTCTTATTTAACCCCCTACCCCTCCCCCTCAACCCCAAACCACCCCAAACCACCTCAAATGGCCCAAAATACCTAATCCAACCCCAAAATTAAAAAATTTTCAAAAAAAAAAATAATAAAAAATTATTCTGGTCCGGACCGGGCCCGAACCGGCAGGGCCGGTTCACCAAATGGAGGGCCCGGGCCCGGAACCGGTATCCACCGGGCCGGTTCGACCCGAACCGTCGGTGGACCGGGCCACCGGGCCGGGCCGGTTCCGGTTCGGGCCGCCCGGCCCGAGTCCAGCACTAACCGGACCCGGTGGATACCCGGGCTGGTTCTGGGCCTACACCTTAAAACCCAAAAGCCCGCCGGGCTTAGGCCCGACCTAGCCCGGGTCCATCACTATGCAAGGTACATAAAAAGATCTTCATGTCTACTAAACAAAGTCGTACAACTAGCTAGTTGCAATTAAATGATTGGAATTAGGAAAATTTAGAAAGTATATGTTTGTGTAAATTCAAAGATGGGAATAATTTTTTAGACTACCATTAACATAATTAGTTGCCAAAATTGCTTGCAAATTTCTAAATTCTAAGCATAAGGATTTAACTTTCAATAACTTGATGACTTGAGAGATCCAAAGATGAATGATGTTAAACTATTGTGTACTTTTTATTTGGACTTTTTTTCGGACCAGATCAAATCGGATCAGATCAGATCAGACCAAACTTGGATACAAGTAAAGGAAAAGTTGAAATTATACATGAGAGATCTTAGATGTGTCAGCCTGTCAGGCGAAGTGGATTACTTGCTCCCAAAGTGAAATAAAAAATCTAATCCGAAGATTCTTTTTGTGTCGAAATGTTAAACCTTTAACGTGTGTAAATGTTGTAGAAGAATAAATATGGACAACATCAAAGTCTTTCTCTATTGTGAGCGGCTTAATACATGGCATTGCCTTTAGCATGGAACCTACTTTGAATAATAACACATATTTAGAAAAAAAAAACAATTTATTCATACCAATCATACATCTACTATTTGATTATAATGAAATCACCGCATCCTCTTTTCAACCACAAATTTAGCTACTTAGCTAATAAAAACTTTGGTATGAAACCATAAAAGGAGTCACATTTGAAGAATTTGTACTGTTTCTTTGATGACCTAAATGTTTCTTTAATGACCTGAATGACTGGGTGTGTTTGGAAAGTATACACATATTACTTCTATTATGTATTTAAACAAGATGTCAAGTATAGGAGTAGAGTTCAGGATGGCTTTTGACTTTTCTTTTAATGAAAAAACACTTATTTTACCAAACACTACCAACTTTTACTATCTCGGTTTTCGTGTAGAATCTACTTTTTACTTTTTCTATTACACAAAAAGCACTTATTTTACCAAACACTACCAACTTTTACTACTAATCACTTTTTCCTAAAAAGTGTTTTTATTTAAGCACAAGTGGTTGCAAACAAAGCCTTACTTAGCCAACAATTATCGCAATCTAGGATGACAGTACGATCTCATGATGGTTGTATAACAGAGTAGTTGAAATTCAGGATGACAATATAATTTCATGATAACAGTGTAGTTTTAGCATGAAATATTTGATTGACTGTTACTGAAATCGAGGATGATGATATGTTGTTCTCTAATTTTGGTTAGAATCCTTAGACCTTAGTAGTGGTTGCATTATTTTTAAAGTTTGTATTAATTGTCAAAATTAAAGTATATATGTTTGTGTATATTTGTTCATCTATTCAATCTTTTAGAGAACACTCCTCCCTCTCACTTTAAATTGTCTCTTATTTCTTTTCGGAGTGTATCAAATTGATGGTCACTTTTGCATATTTGGAAAGAGATCCACCATCTATCAAAGTAATTATAGTACACATTAATAAAGTATACGCTAACACATTAATGAGATCAATCTCTTTCCCTATCATTCACTACACGAAAGTTGATTCGTAGAGAAGGCACATAGTTGCATCTATATATAAGGGGTAACATCTAAGGGGTAACACATAATTACTTTGGGACGGACCGAATGAAGACGAAGATAATCGGACCGAGGGACTATTCAAAATCTAATCTATTAATAAAATATCGAAAAATTATACTACCTAGGTCTCTTAAAACTTTGCCAAAGTTGACTGACATGAAGAATAATAAAGTAAAAACTGTGTGGTTGAGGTTTGTGCAGAGAAGAGAGAAATAACAGAAACCACAAAATAATTGATTAAAAAGGAAAATGGTAAAGTTTTTTGGGACGTCCCAAAAAGGAAAGATGACAAAGTTTTAAGGAACGGAGGGAGTATGAAAGATAGCTATCAACCAATCCAGCCAGATAAGTAACTTTAATCTTATTTATTTTGATTATTTGAAAATCCAGCGCACAAACCAAAACCTATGTGTTTACTGAGAAAATTGGATGAAAAGGCTGATAAATCGAGGTCAGAAATGGGCTCCTAAAGGTCGTTTGGCAACACTGTTTTTTAATTTATCAGCCAACATTTTCACCAAACACGTAACTTTTACTTTTGTGCGTTGAATTGTGTAATTAAGCAGAAAAAGTAAGGTTTGAGCTACTTTTTTTACTGTATTATCTGAAGTTACTGTAGATGACTATTTTAGCTATTTTTATATATAATTTTTTTAGAACAGCAGAATTAGCCAATGCAGCCACTTCATCAAGAACTTCATAAATTTCAACAGAATCAATCAAATCGGCCAATTTTGATTCTACCAAACGGGCTCCTAATCTAACAAAAAAGGATTGATTAAGGGGTGGTGTAATGCGCAAAAAGACCACATGTTTGGGCCAAGTATGCGCAGGTTAACCCGGCTAAATATCAGCCCAGTACTCCAGAGTATATAGGCTGGTGACTTTTTAGGTTTCTCCGCTTCTCCAATTATAAATTAAAACCAGTCCGAGGTAGCATCTTCATTCGATCGAGACTCGAGAGTAAGAGAGAGGGAGTGGCCGGAAATGATGAACTACGCCGATCCTCACAGCAGAAGCGCCGCGTCGTCGTTCTTCGACGCCTTCTCCTTGAATCCGCCGCCGTACCGTGTTCTTCTGGTTCTAGCAGTCATCGGTCTCTTTCTAGGTATCAAGTGGCACGTGTCCTACGAGGAAGCGGTGGAATCGGCAGAGGAAAGCTTCAATTGGCTGCTGTTGCTGGTTCCGGTTGGGTTGATTTTCGTCGTGCGTGGGCTGTCGAACATGGAGGCCCCAGGGTGGCTGATCGGAGGGGCGCCGTGGGATCGGAGCAGGAAGTTGAGGTATCTGGGGACGTCGGAAGGAAACTCGCCGTGGGGCGTGGCGGCGCTGATCGTCTTGTTACTTGTCTTGCTCCAGTTCAAGACAACTTTCCTTGACATGTAGAAATCATCCATATAGCTGCATCTGGATGTATCTGAAGAGTAAAATTCCCTGTTCAAAACTATAGATTAATTAATCAGTGAAATGTATTTTTATTAGATTGCGTTAACTTTTGGGATCTTCAGATAATTAAGTGCAGCTTAACTAATGTAAATGAGTATGTTTATGTTTGAATAATGAGTGTTAATTATTCGCATTTAGTATCAAGTTATTTTTGGTTAGTTTTGAGGCTTCATCTCTTGTAGATATAAATGAGTCAACATTATTCCCTATCTGATCTTCTGCAAACAGTATGAAAAATAGGCAAAACTACAGGCATGTATATACATAATGATTGAATTGAAAACAAATTGGTTGATTATTTGTTAATTTGTGAATTTAAAGTGCCCTAAAATATTTTAGTCAAAAGTAATTTAAAAAAGTCAAAAGTACAATTTTTTTGGAAGAAAAGTCAAAAGTACATTTGAAAGCGGGGTTTTTTTTTTTTTGCTTTCTAAATTTCCTTTGATAATTGTGCCGTTCGAAAACCTGTTTTTTTTGGAGTATCATTTTACGAAGATTAGCCGATTAGGCCAGTGAGGTTAGCCTCCTACCGTCCTACGTAACCTTTCTTATCAACAAGATTTTATTAGACATTATAATAATATTATATTATATTCAAATGGATTCTCTTTTTATGATTCTTTTACTTTATATTTCTTCGTCCGAATTTGAATACGTATCTTTTAAGCACTTTTCTCTTCAGCAACAAAAACATATACTCCGTACTTCGTATATTCTTGATTGGGGCAAGTTTGATGTGATTTTAACACAATCATGCCTAATCTTATTTAACAAAAAAATGATTTGGACAAGCTAGGTTGAATTTTTTATTATCAATCCTGCCTAATCTATTCAACAAAAACAACTTTCTTTGGCCAAGTTTGAGGTGATTTTTACCAATCTTGCCTAATCTTATTATTT